CTCCCTCCCTCCCTTCCTCCCTCTCTCCTTCCCTCCTTCCCTCTCTCCTTCCCTCTGTCCTAGAAATGTTCTTTGTAGACCAGGCTGGCCTCAATCTCACAGAGATCCACTAACCTCTGCCTCCTGAGTGCTGGGATTAAAGGCGTGCACAGCCACGCCAGTGCATGTATATTCCTTGATATAGATGTATATAGAAGGTGTCCTAGGTACCTTTAATGGTTGATGTGACAGAGACTCCCCTTTCCAGCAGGGTGCCTCCTGCCTCTCTTCCTGGCTCACCTTAGAAGTGCCCGCCACAGATACATGACCTCTGGAATAGAAACTACCAGGTTTTAATCAGGCATTGTCTGATAGCCTGATAGAAGCCCACCGCCCTATGTAAAATAAGCATCCTAGGAGCACCTATCAGCTAAGGCTTTTGCTACTGCCTCCACACTATAAATTCTCTCGTTTCCCCCTAATAAATCGGAGCTGCATCACTGAACTTGTCTGAAGCTGTATCACTGAATCCTGTGTTCTACTGTGCCTGTGACCAGTCTGTGATTCAGTGTCCCCGGAGGGGGCTATCCTTCCATCAACAACCACTCGCGAAGGTCTTGCTTTCGCCGTTCCTGCACCTCCCCTCGTGATCCGGTGGCCAACGGATCGCGTGCACAGAAGGAGTGTCCCGCAGCTTGGCGCCAAACCCGCCGGGCAGCTTGCAGCCCCCCGAGGAGTCTGCACTCGCCAGTGCCCGGCATGGGCTTGCCGATCTGCTGAGCCCCGCCTGCACTTCCAGCCACGGAGAGTAGAGCCGGCGCCCAGCAGCGCGCGACCACGGACCCGCCACACACAACAACACAGTTGCTCAAGGACAAATTAAACTAGATTACTTCAATAATAAAAAAATCACTGACCTTCATTAGATGGTCCACACGTGCTAAAAGCTGTGTATTAATCGATAGCCTGCAGTATAGTTTATCTCCAGGTTTTGCAACTAAACGGAGAGCAAATTCTCTTTGAAACATAAGTATAGCACATCTGAAAAGCAGAAAGGGGAAAAAAAATGGTCATTCTCCACGACAGCTATATTTAACTGCAGTGAGTCATCCTGGGAGGCAAATAGCAAAACAGTATCTGATTAACAATGTGATAAGGAGGTAGAACACTTTGAGCCTTAGTGTTATTAACCACAGTAGCCTCATTTTATTTTCCAATAGCTGTACTGCTAACCCCAAGGAAGATGGCTTGCTTTCAGTGATCAGGTGAGCAACTATTTCAGACCTGTATTGTCTATGATTCCTTCTGAAAAACAAAGTTGATCTCATAACAAAACTGTATTTGTAGTGTAGCTGGAATTGCAATGTTGTGTCTTTTTCTTCTGCAAGCAATGGGGGCATTTTTAGAGGTTAGTGAATAGAAGAGCATCTGCAAAGCTGTATTTTGACAGAGAGAGAGACAGAGACAGAGACAGAGACAGAGACACTGGGGACTAAAGGCCTCATGCCTACCACGAAAATCTTACCACTGAGCTACATCTCCAGCCCTTTCTTCTGCTTTTGAGAGTCTCATAAAGTTGCCAAGGCAGGCCTTGAATTTGCAATCCTCTTACCTCAGTCTCCACAGTATACTACATGTTTAAAATCAAACAAAACTTTTGTGACACTCTAGGCACCCAGACCATATGCACCTGCCTTCTGATATCATCTATTCCATGTCATTTAAAAGGAGGGAAAGAGAGAGGGGCGGGATGACCCATAGGTAAAGGCACTTGGTGCCAAGCCTGATGATGTGAGTTGGATTCCCAGGACCCACTTGGTGGAAGAGAACCAACTGCCACAAGTTATCCTCTGACCTCCAAATGTGCACTATGACATGCAAACACACAAACATTAAATTGATTTGTTTCAATTGGCTAATGGTCATGAATCCACAATTTATATTTTATAAACACCAAGGGGCTATTTAACTTGAGTTTGAAAGCCACTGCTATAAAATATACTATTATAGGGGCTGGAGAGATGGCTCAGCAGTTAAGAGCACTGGCTGTTCTTGCAGAGGACCTGGGTTCAATTCCCAGCAAAGTTAGTCCCACATGGTGACTAACAACCTTCTGTAATTCCAGTTCCAAGGGACCTAATGACCTCTTCTAATCTCCATGGGCATTGCACATATGGGTGCACTTACACACATGCAGGCAATATACTCATACACATAAAGAAAAAAAAGAACTATTACAGTAACCAGTTAAGAAGCCACTGTAAGTAGCTGGGCATGGTGGCGCACACTTTAAATCCCCAAACGCCAGAGGCAGAGGTAGGCAATCTCTGTGAGATCAAGCCTGATCCCTAAGTAGTAAGTTCCAAGTCAGCTGGGGCTACATGAAAATGCACACATTTACTGCCTTAGATAACGTATCATCTCGGGGCTGGAGAAATGGCTCAATGGTTAAGAGCACTGACTGCTCTTGCAGAGGACCCAGGTTCGATTCCCAGCACCCACATGGCGGCAACGAACAGTCCTTAACTCCAGTTCCAGGGGAATCTGAAACTCTCTTCTGAACTCCATGGCATCGCACCACACATATGCACTCACATACATGCAACCAATATGCTCATACACATAAAATAAAAATAATAAATTAAAAAAAAAAAAAAACTTAGCATCTCAAAGACCTCCCAAGACATCAGTATTGTTTTTTTCCTTTTGTGTTTTGTTTCTCTGAAACGGTATCACATAGCCTAGGCTGGGCCTGAACCAGCTCTATAGCCAAAGATGAGCATGAACTACTAATGCTCCTGCCTCTGTCTCCCAGGTGCTAGGTTATAGGCACCCACCACCATGCTGAGTTTTATGTGATGCTGGGGTCAGAACACCCAGGGCTTCAAGCATTCTATCAACTGAGCTACATCCCTGGCCCAGAAATCAGCATTTCCTACAAAATTCTCTAGTAGTTTTTTTAATTGTGTTTGGTGTGTTCCTGGCTAAATTATCTTTTTAAAATTTAGCATTAACTGTTCTTTAGACAAACCTGAAAAAAGGCCGGTGCAGCAACAACTTGAAGACAAAAGGAGATGAGATCTGAAAGAGAATTACTAGTTAATTTTGAGGAAAAACAGCAGACATGCACTTGAATCTGATCATCCAAAGAGTACCTGATAAGGCAAGTTTGCCACGCAAGTATCAAAGAATGGCAAATCCGATTTCAACACGTCTCCCACCAATACCTGAAGTTTGCTGGCTAGAGGCCTGATGATAAAGAAAGTTTAAAAGAATGTTGTTTCATGACACTGAAATGTACTTTAGTGTACTTTAACTCCTTTAGATATACTCACGTGCCCTGAACTCTTTTGTGAAGTTCAGCTACAAGCCTTGGGTCAAGTTCGCAGGCAACTACCTAAATTCATAACAAAATAGCTTGATTATGAAATAATTCATCTTTTACCGTCCAAGCAGTAACTCTTACAATTTACATAATTTAAGCTTTTTCCAACCATTCCATCATCATCGCTTCAACTGTATTCTACCACTTTAAACAACACAGTAACACCCAGAAAAGCTACATGAGTTTTACCCAAATAAAAGAATTACCCATTTCATCTGTTCCCATGCTTTGTTAACAGAACAGATGATGAAAAGAATACACAGTATGTTTTTGCAGTCGGTGTTTTTAGGCAGGAGCACACAAGGACTTACTGCTCCGAGTTCTGGCATTAACTGAGATCGAGAACACATGGCACAACATCTCAAACAAAAATGGGTGAGGCTGAAATTAGGGTAATAAAATCAGCTCAAGTTTTGCTGACTTCCAAGACCATGTCTACAAGTAGACGCTTGTGCTGCTTGGCTCTAGACCCATTCTTTATCATTGCTGTACTCTATAGGGACTGTAATTCCACAAGCCTGAGCGCTGGCTCTACAGGTCTTCTGTTGAACTCAGCCCTAATTATTCTTTGCTTTGCTCCCCAATGCTTACGGGTAGCCAGTTGCTATTTAAAATTAGTTTGGGTTGGTAGCCAGGAGTGGTGGTATACACCTTTAATCCCAGTACTTGGGAGGCAGAGGCAGGCAGATCTCTGTGAGTTCAAAATCTACTAGCTAGTCTGGTCTACATAGCGAGTTCCAGGTCAGTGGGGGCTACAGGGAGACCCTGACTCAAAAAGCCAAAAAAAAAAAAAAAAATTAGTTTGGGTTGGGGCTAGAGAGATGGCTCATTAGTTAAAAGCACTGGCTGCTATTGCAGAGGACCTGGGTTCAATTCCTAGGACAGCTAACAACTAACTGTAACTCCAGTTCCAGGGGAATCCAACACCCTCTCTGACCTCCTCAGGCATTGCATGACACGGGTACACTTACATGCAATATACTTATACACATAAAATAAAAAAATATTTAAAAATAAAATTACTTTGGGTTATCTCAATGTTCCCGTTTTATTCTGCTAACCCCTCTAATAAATATATAACCCACTCCTATATTAAATTCCCTGTCAATATACCAAGTATAGTTTTTGTTTTTCTGACTAATCCATCTCATTTTCAGAGATAAAATGTCTAGTAAGGGGTCAAGAGTTGCTATTAAAATGATAGCAATTAGGGGATGGAGAGATGGCTCAGAGGTTAAGAACACTGGTTGTTCTTGCAGAAGACCCAGGTTCAAATCCCAGCACCCACACATAAAATAAAAATAATAAAGAAATTTTAAATAAATAAAATAATAGCAATTAATATTGTATAGCTGTATTAATTCAACTGTGAACCTAAAAATTTACAGCCAATTTTGGAGGTGATTCATCTTTGCTCTGGAAATTGTTATTGAATATGTCAGTGCTGTTCTAATGCTTCTTCTAATTATGTGATTATTAAATAAGTGGAAAAAAAAAAGAAAGAAAAAGCCTAATGCAATGCCCAGAGCCAGACATTTCTGAGTCTGAAGGGTATGAGTAACCCAAATTTTATCCAAAAAGAAACTCACGCCATCCAAATGCAAACTTGTAATGGATGAAGTAAGTCTCTCAATAGTGACTCTCGGCCTTTCATAATGAGAAAAGGATATTTTCTTGCCTTGGGAATATTCTAAAATTTACTCATAAGACAGACAAAATAAATAAATAAAATAAAATAATAGCAATTAAGGGGACTGGATGTGGTGGCCACACCTTTGATCCCAGCATTCCATAGGCAGAGGCAGGGAGATCTCTGTGAGTTCAGGTCCAGCCTGGTCTACAGAGCAAGTCCCAAGCCAGCCAGGGCTACACAGTGAGACCCTGTCTCAAAAGAAAAAAAGAAGAAAAAAAAACTATTCATCCAAACATTTATATTTGTAAACCAGCTCAGCTTGTCTGATACTAACACATGAAATTCCTTTTTTACCTTTTTTGCCTTTTCTAATAGCTTTACAGTCATGTTGCCAGTTCCAGGCCCAACTTCCAACACCACATCAGTTGGTCTGAGAGCAGCCTAAAAACAAGCAGAACCACTTCATCTCATCTGGCACATCTAAACACAGTTTATAAATGACCATCTTTGCTTATCATTGCTCAGTTATGAGATTTTACTGACTTCATCTTTAGATTTCTTCATGATACATGTAGTTAAAAAAAGTACTTCAGGTATAAATGAAAATCTACATTTCCTAACCTAAGGGACTACTACTCAGTTTCTGGAGTCAGGAAAAGAGGAATAGCAAGAAGACCCATTAATGGCTTCCGGCTTTCTCCCTTGGAAATGATTCCAGTGGCACACGCCTTTAATCCCAGCACCTGGGAGGCAGAGGCTGTTAGTTCATGGCCAGCCTCATTTACCTAGTGAGTTCCAGGACACCTGGAGCTACAGGGAGACCCTGTGTCAAAAAAAAAGGTAATTTTGTGCCATTTTCTAGTAATCATCCATAACAACAAAATAACCTATATAAGAGGAATATTCCAAATAATTTATAGCAGTACCATATTTTCTGGGGAACAGACTTACTGTGTGATTTAAACGTAAATTTAAGGCTGGCACGGTGCCTCACGCCTTTAATCCCAGCACTCGGGAGGCAGAGGCAGGCGGATCTCTGTGAGTTCAAGGCCAGCCTGGTCTCCATAGCAAATCCAGGCCAGCTAGGGCTACAGGGAGACCCTGTCTCAAAAAGACCAAAAAAAAAAAAAAACCCACATAAGTTTAAACTCTGGAATAAATAACAAGTGAAATGGTGCTTACAAAGTGATTAGAAGAATAAGTACTTGGAAAGTGGAGGTAAGAGAATCAGGAGTTCAAGGCCAGCTTTGTCTACAAACGGAGTTTGAGGACAGGCACATGAAACCGGGTCTCAAAACAAAACACATCGCCAAGAAAGTGTTTAAAGGATAACGTGGAATCGAAGTACAAATAAAGTCCACCTAGGAAGAGGAAAATCCACAGAAAGACTTGTGGGTCCGCGGAAACAGAATCAGAAGGAAGTATCAAAAGACAGCATGCGAATCCCAGACTATTCTTAACTCATTCAACAGATAATTACAGAGCTTCCTCTCCATGTTCAGTTTTTCTCAGGGTCTATGTAGCACAGGCTGGCTTTGAACACAAGATCATCTTGCCTGAGCTTCTCAAATGCTGGGATTAGGGGTATATAGCAATGTGCCAGGCTTAAGTAATCCTAAGAATAAGATTAATGGGGCTGGAGAGATGATTCAGCGGTTAACACTGGCTGTTCTTGCAGAAGACCCTGGTTCGAATCCCAGCACCCACACGGCAGCTAACAACTGTCCCTAACTCCATTTCCAGGGGATCGAACGGCCTTTTCTGTCCTCCGGGGGCACTGCACGACACGGGTGCACTTACTTACCTACATGCAGGCAATACACTCATACACATAAAATAAAAATAAAAATTTTTTTAAAAAAAGATTAATAACCTAACAACTCTCTGCCTTTCCTTTTCGACACCCACCTTTTCGATAATGCTGTTAACAATGAGAGGATTTTTCAAAATGTGCTGCCCGATCCCTGTGTTGAACATGAGTCCTGGAATAAAACACGAAGTAGACTTAATTTCCCAACTGAGAATCGAACCCAGCCAGTCCAGGAGAAGCGCAGATGATGGGAGGGGAGATATTTCTGCACCCACAAGGCCACCAGCGGTCCTGCTCGGGCCGGGCCGACTCGCAGCTTTAAGTCCATCCGCTGGCAGGTAAGCCCAGGTCGGGAAAAGGGCAGGGTCTGCGCTGGCGCACACCGGAGTCGGAGCCGCATGGAGCGCAGGCCACAGCGGGTCTCCGCTTCCGCACCTCAGTGGGCACCCAGATGCGGCCAGCCCGATTTCCTCCACCGCGCACCTCCAGCATGCTTCAGCTCCCGGCGCTGCTCCTGCCGCTTGCGCCGGCGGCCGCTCGCCACAGACTTGGCCTTCGGCATCTTGGCAGACAGGAGTCCCAGGTGGACGAAGGCAGCCTGTAGCCGCGTGAGCGTCGCGGCCCTCGCAGTCAAGGCAGGGCTGCGGGAGACCCGCCCAACTGACTCTTTCAGGAATCTTTCGGTCAGCGCTCCGCCCCAGCCCCGTGGCCGCTGGGAATTGTAGTCTCCGCTGCGCTCCTCCCCCGGACTCGAGTCCGGTGACTGCCGGGTCTCTTTGTCCCTAATCTCAATGGGGCCACACTAAATATCCCCCCCCCCCCCCCCCCCCCGGTTTACGGCCGGCTCGAGTCCGGTGGCCGCCGGGAATTGTAGTCTTCGCTGTGCTCCTTTCCCGTTTTGGACCGGAGTTGAGCCCCGTGGCTGCTGGGAATTGTAGTTTCCTCTGAGCTCCTACACCCACCCCCCGACCCCCGTTAGGACCGGGGTCGAGCCCCGTGCCCCTGGGAATTGTAGTCTCCAGGCGCGCCTTGCCGGTTATGGCCTGGCTCCAGCCAGGAGATCCTTCCGGGGTTACTGGGATCTCCCCTGGAACGGCACCTTTCTGGGAAGTCAGGGTTCCCAGTAGATACCCGGCTGGAGAGCTGGGCAGTTTGGGTTGACTGGGGTCACAGTTGAGAGGTTGTGTGGCTCCTCCACCGGCTGGACTGCTGACTTGCGTGGAACGGTCTCATATATGCCTCTTGTTTCCCCGCAGCTTGTGGGGTGGAAAGCCCAGGCCTCGGGGATATGGAGCTTGCTGATTTCCGGTAGTGCGTTGCTCTGCTGCTGGAAAGCAACTCTGAAGTTGGAATTAGCCGCTACCTCCCCTAGGCTACTTCACTTCTCTGTGCCTCATCATTTATTCTTTCGACATTTACAGAGTTTTAGCTCTGAAACTCACAGTTAAATAAGCTGCTCTTAATGCCTATTTATTGAAAGGAATGGGCAAGAACTAATTCAAAAACTCTGTAAATGTGATAATAGGATCATATTGTATATTGTGATAGGACAATATTATGGACTGTAAGTTCCATGACTAAAAGACTCCGACTGTTTTGCCTGCCAGTGTAATGTTTCTCCGTTTTAGTTTTCCTCTGTCACCTCCAAAGCTGACTCCTAAGAAACTGTGTCATCCCAAACCTTTTTAATCCTTCCTTCCTTCGCTGTAATTCGAACTCGGGAAAAAGTCCAAAATATCCTAGTAAAATCTTCAGAGTTCATGGGGTTAGGGATTTAGCTCCAGTGGGAGAGCGCTTACCTAGCAAGCCTCAAGGCCCTGGGTTCGGTCCTCAACTCCGGGGAAGAAAAAAAAAACTTCAAAAGTTCTACTTCATTACATTAATCAACTTATTCCAACAATTTTGGAGACTACAGTGTACAAGTCATTGTGTCATGTGTTAGGAGGGAAAGGATGAACATGACACCATCCCTGCTTTTTAAAAGAATTTGATTATTTAAAGATGGGGCGGAGCCTGTTGCCTGACTCAGCTGACAATCCCCTAGTCTTCCCTGGCCACCTCCCTCAGGCATGGCACAGGGTCCCGCCTAGACGTCCAGCCTCAAAGCCTTCAGTCCATTTTCCGACAGGGGACGCTGGAGTCCTGCACACCTGGGAGGACCACAGTTGTTTAACAACCTACACCAACAAAAATGTCAGCTTTGTCAATTTGAGAATTTACCCACATGGACTGGTGTTGCTGGACCTTCAGAGTTAAAGACAGTGACCTGCAGGGCAAACAAGAAACTGACAGCCTTAAAAGACGAAAGAACAGAGAGGACAGTAGTTGTCCAGTGAAGTTTACCACCATAGTTCTAGGAGTACTGGCCTACTGCTGTATGACACTAATAAGATGAAGATTCACCTGATCAGATCATTAAAATTCTACACACGAAGCTGTTTAGAAATATTCTCATCCTCAGTGGAGATGTTAATTTGGCCGAGAATGACTTGGCATATACCCTGGCCATTATGGGTAGTGGCAAAGAAGATTACACTGACAAAAACATACTGGTTTTGAGAGGTGGTGATGGGGATGTGTTATGTGAAATAGTCAAGATGAAACCAAAGATGGTCACTATGGTAGAGATTGATGCAATGGTGATTGATGGATGTAAGAAATATATTCGAAGAACATGCTGTGATGTCTTAGACAATCTTAAGGAGACTGCTATCAGGTTTTCCTAGACTGTATTCCAGTCCTGAAGAGGTAGAATAAAGGAAGGAGAGAACACGATTCTGTGATTAATGATTTGGCAGCTGTCCCAACCTCCACATCTCCAGAAGATTCCACATGGGAGTTTCTCAGACTGATTCTCGGCCTGTCAATGAGAATACTGAAACAAGGTGGGAAATATTTCACACAGGGGAACTGTGTCAATTTGATAGGAGCCCTGTCACTCTATGAAGAACAGCTGGGCTACTATATTGTCCAGTGGAATTCTCAAAGGGTGTCCTTCATACTTGGAACTGTGGGTATTTTACACTGTTTGGAAGAAGGCTAAGTCTTCAACATGAGCATCAGTAATGATGTGTGCTACAAGTCACCTCCCTATGTTGTATATGCCATCAGACAAGTCAGCCAATTGACTGAATTTCTTCAAGTTTTTTTTTCTTTTTTTAAAATTTTTAATTTTAAGGGGTTGGAGCGATTGCTCACTGCTGTTGCAGAGGACTCGGGTTCGATTCCCAGCACCCACATGGCAGCTAACAACTGTCTATAACTCCAGTTCCAAAGGGATCCAGCACCCTCTTCTGTCTTCCTCAGGCATTTCGAGACATGGGTGCACCTACCTACATGCAGACAATACACTCATACACATAAAATAAAAATAATACATGCTGGGCGTGGTGGCGCACCCTTCTGTGGTGGTGTTTCTGACACAGCAACAGAAAAGTAACTAAGATACCTCCAAAGAGTTCTTTAAGGGAGATATCATGTCCATTTTGATCTTACATCATTTTGTGAGAAAAGTGAAGGACAAAAATGTGTCATATGTATCATATGGTAAGTGACAGCTGCTTCTTGAAACTAGGCCTGTTTTTCAGAGGACTGGTGCTTTAAAAGCAGTACTATAGCTAGCTATGGCTGGGACTTGAGAAGTTTGGGGGCTATTCCCAAAGTACAATATTTGGAGCTGGACGTAGACATTTCCTGTAATCACAGCACTTGGGAGGCTGAGTTGGAGGATGACTGAGGATTCAAAGCCAGCCTGAATTACTTGAGTTCCAGGACACCGTGGGCTACAGAGTGAGAGCCTATCTCAAAAAGACAAAGGCCAGTCATGGTGGCACCCACCTTTGATCCCAGCAGAGGCAGGCAGCTCTCTGATTTTGAGGCCAGCCTGCTCTACATAGCAAGTTCCAAGGCCTACACAGTGGGATATATATATATATAATATTAAT